TGTCTCCAGAGTTCAAGCGATTTCCCCTGCCTCAGCCTCCCAAGTAACTGGGATTACAGGCGCACACCACCACGCCCAGCTAGTTTTTGTTTTTTTTTTTGTTTTTTTTTTTGAGATGGAGTTTCGCTCTTGTTACCCAGGCTGGAGTGCAATGGCGTGATCTCGGCTCACCGCAACCTCCGCCTCCTGGGTTCAGGCAATTCTCCTGCCTCAGCCTCCTGAGTAGATGAAATTACAGGCACGCACCCCCATGCCAGGCTAATTTTTTTGTATCTTTGGTAGAGACAGGTTTTCACCATATTGGCTAGGCTGGTCTCAAACTTCTGACCTCGTGATCCGCCTGCTTCGGCCTCCCAAAGTGCTGGGATTACAGGCTTGAGCCACCGCGCCCGGCCTAGTTTTTGTATTTTAAGTAGAGTTGGGGTTTTACCATATTGGCCAGGCGCGTCTTAAACTCCTGACCTCAAGTGATCCACTCGCCTTGGCCTCCCAAGGTGCTGGGATTACAGGCATGAGTCACTGTTCCTGGCCCCTATTTGTTTTTGTTTTCATTTTTGGGATAGGGTCTCACCCTGTCACCCAGACTGGAGTGCAATGGTACCATCATGGCTCAGGGCAACCTGGAACTCCTGGGTTCAAGTGATCCTTCCACCTCAGCCTCCTGAGTAGCTGGGATTACAGGTGTGAACCACCATGTCTGGCTAATTTTTGTGGTGTTTGTTTGTTTTGAGACAGAGTCTCACCCTGTCACCCAGGCAGGAGTGCAATGGTGTGATATTGGCTCACTGAAACCTCCATCTCCCGGGTTCAAGCAATTCTCCTGCCTTAGCCTCCTGAGTAGATGAAATTACAGGCACACACCACCATGCCAGGTTAATTTTTTTGTATCTTTGGTAGAGACAGGTTTTCACCATATTGGCTAGGCTGGTCTCAAACTCCTGACCTCGTGATCCGCCTGCTTCGGCCTCCCAAAGTGCTGGGATTACAGGCGGGAGCCACCGTGCCTGGCCTAATTCTTGTATTTGTAGTAGAGGTGGGGTTTTATCATGTTGTCCAGGCTGGTATGAAATTCCTGGCCTCAAGTGATCCACAGCCTCTGCCTCCCAAAGTGCTGGGATTACAGGTGTGAGCCCCCGAG